AGAGAATTATTCCATCGATTTATACTACATCGAATTCATACAAATCGTTCTCTTTTATATCAGTTAATAAAATAGAATTTCCAGGGGAACTGACACCGAAGCACCAAACGAAAAATACCAAATAATACAAACCAAATGATAACGATAACTATCATACAGTGAACGAATTTTCAAACTGATATTATTTTACAAAATGGGAAAGCAGACAATCTACTCTACAAAAATACTGCCATAAGGTAACAGGTATAAAAAATTAAAATAAAAATCTATACTTAAAGGAAATGCGAATCCGTTGACTAATTCACCCTCGAATTATCGTTTTAGATAAGAGAAAATCTGTACATCCAAGGCCATCGTTACCAAAGTAATCAAAGGGACCATGAGAAACCTAAAGATGAAATTTGAAGGATGAAAATTTGTTTCCACGACAAATGCAAAGGTCCTGGAATTAATTTGGTCGCGAGACCGGTACACGACGATCCTCCACGTCAAAGTGTCGTCGTTATCAACGTCCTGTTCACCTCTCAGCTGACATACCATAAATCGTGGATCGACATGCTGCCGCAAAAAAATCACGCCGGAGCGAGAGAGACCGTGGTTGTTCTCTCCTGCAATCTCCAGGAAAATGAACGCCATAAATAAGCACGGTCGGCCAATAATTCCGTCGCGATCGAGCAACAAGAGTTTTTCATCGGTGCAGGCAGAACGGGGTGGCGGACACGGATGAAAGTAGCGATGGAACCGACTCGCCTTGTTCCATTCCCAACGCTGATATTTCGATTAATCAGATTAACCCTTTGCATGACGAGCGCAAATCTTTGTCAATAGTCCGTGTAAACTATCGCAATTACGTGCTATGTCGTGTGGCGAAAATTACACTTAACGCGTACTGTAATCAAAATTCGAAGAAACTGCGTAATTTTTCTACAATTTTATCGTGAGTGGAATATGCGTATAATGATTAACTAATGGAGTAACTTTCACCATGTAATTTTCAGTAATTGTGATGTTAGACGATTCTAGGTAATGATATCGTACTGAGAGAGCAAATATGACTCTGAAGAAAGTTTATGTACGTAAATGATGTACTTTGTCAGTATATGAAGTTTATAAATTACATTTGGAAATATGAAAATGGAATAAAATGTACATTATAGGTGAGAATATAAAAATAGAAAATACATGGTGAAGAATAAATATAATCTAGGAAGTAGTTTATGTATTAAAAGATGAACGTTGTCAGTAAACAAATGTTATAAATTATATCTATAATGATATATTAGAATAATTTGGGACACGGATCAAACAGTACCTGTACAATTATTTCATTTATGTTATTACTCGTGACAGAAGTAAAATTGAATCAATAATGTACAAAGAACAATGAGACATATAATAAGATAATAAATGTTATTAAAAAGATAACTGTACTATCGCAGGTGACATCAGGCCTAATTTTCAACAGCCTAGTAAAAAGGTGCGTTGCGATATTTCATATGAAATTAGAATTGTAAATAATGTGATAAGATTAAAATTGTGGAACGAGCGACGAGAAAGTTTGGAAAAAATTTGGAAAAATTTCTTTTTCGTACGAAAAGTAAAAAGTGAAAGCTCAGCGCAGGAGGGTATTAATCCCATCGCTAGCAGCAAGGGCAAAAGCACGATTGTAGAGGAGGTGGAGGAGACGGTGCCGATGGTAGGAGTATAGTACGACGCGTTTTGTAATCAAATCTAAAATTCCCAGCGCGGAGGAACCCGATGAAAGAGTAACCAACGGACACAATCGAATCGGGCTACGAGCTTGTCACCTGACTTCAAATAAGCGACCACTGTCCTGCGCTGTCTACGTGCAGTTATCTGCACACCTTTAGCCTTCCTTTCGCTATGGCCCGACCTCAGATTTCCCTCGGGAGCGGAAAAAAAACTATCGAACCCCTTTCACCGCCTCTAAAGAGTTAAAATAGTGTTCATTCCCCTAAACTTTCAGCGAAGTTTATTTTTCCTAATAGCAAGAAAAAATATATTTTCGAAATTGGATAGATACAAGTATCGTTCGATGTTTAATTATTTTTCTTTATATTTTTCAGTTCCTCGACAGTCGAATGACGTTTAAAAGATTCAAAAGTGTCCAGACGCGCACATGTTATGGTTTCAATTTGCCGCGTGTGGTAATGGCATGGACAACGCCATCTGTTGTTAGTCACTTTTCTTGACCAGAGTCACCGTTTGGTAGTCAGATTACAAAATGGGCGAGGAGGTAACCGCGCGATCCCATGTGTCTACGGTATATATTGCTTTACATGGAAATTGTACAAGAAAATCGATAAATAACTACATCTATTGACAACTTTAATTATTTGTAAGTAATTCTATATAAATATACTTGTATTTGATATATACTGTAAATTGGTTAAAAGAGCATGCGTTCTACGAGATTGTATGATATATTTTTCACGAATATATATCACATTGTATTTATTTAACATTATATGTTTTTACAAAAGTTGAATTTTCATTTTGTGATATTTTTAATTTGTTTAGGGTCTATATTGGACCAAAAAACCGGAAACATTATGAAAAAGGATAATAATTTAAAACATAAGAATGATGCAATAGTTTTAAATATTACACAATTCATTGCTGCTATACAATCACTAATGGCGCTGTATGTCGGTATTCGTCTATTCTGGACCATAATCAGAGGTTAGTATTAGAAATATAGAATGTGTAAGGAGGTTGCTTCGGGTATACGTGTTATATCTATATATGCGTATGTCTATACACCGCATATCTATACATACGCATATCTATATATGTAGCATGTTATATTGCTTGTGTGAAACACAAATATATCTTGAAAAGTAAAAATTTCTTAAGTATTCCTTTAACATTTATACTTATGAAATAATTTACTTTTTAAACCAAGAATAGCTATTATCACACAATCATATCTTATTAATTTACAAATTTTGTTCTTATTAAATCATTTTATTGAATTAGCCTGTGCCTGTTGGATTTACATTTGCTCTCGATGTAATTATATAGAAAATGCTAATTTATTTTTCGTTGTGCTTTTTTAGACATGTATATAATTATTCTTGTAAAAAATTTAGGTTGCTTTGTTAGATTTTTAATCGACGTAGGAGGTATAATGATTTTTTTAAAGTTGAATATATTTTTAATATTTGAGATTTGTGACTAGTTCCATTTTGAAGTTTCACTGTATATTCGGCTTTTTGTATTATTAATTCTTGAATAAGAGGGGAGATGGAGCCATAGTACAGTAGACCGTCGGTAAAATTAGTTACAGTTAGAGTTTGAGAGTTCATTACCAGATAGCAGTAGGGAACGATGCCAATTTCCAAGTCTTACCTTGTGGAGATAATTACTCAACGATAGCAATTTTCAGAATATATATACTCTGAATATATTTAGCACGAGCGTTATTGAACATTGGCATTCGTGAATATAGTAGCTCCCTATGAAAATAATAAAGTATAATCAGTCACCCGTGTCGTATCGGATCATTCGTTCTACAATACCGTGGGTAACCAGAGAAAACGTAAACATACGACTTACCGACCGTTGATCTCTTCTCTATACCATAGCAGCTTTGAATTGACTGTTGCTATCCTCGTGGTATCAGTGTTGCAGTATCCCTCCTTTACCCTCGTCGTTAATGTAGCGATGTCACATTCAACTCCAACACACACGCACGATGTCGTGTACGCGAGTGAACGTATTTCGATCGGTAACGAGTAAAAAATCGCGTGTGAACCCGTACGAACGTGAACGGTTTAGTAGAAGTACGATAATAATTTAATTGATATAAAAATATTCAACGTCCACTAACACAAGTAAAATTAAACAAATAAAACGTAAAAGATTTGTTTAAGTATTAAATAGATAATTAGAAACAAAAAATAAACAAATTAATTAAATTATTAAAAATAAATAAATAAAATTATTATTAAAGTTATTAAAATATAATTATTAAACAAATAACTAAAATGTAGTTATGGAAAAATAGTTAGTAAACCGTAAGCAATGTTTATGTGGTTGTAAATTAAATTATTTAAAGTGTTTGTTTACTAGTAATTAATCGAAGTTATTTAAAACGGTGGAAACATTGATGTTTACGTCGCGAAGTCCGAAGAACAATTAACCTGGTGCTGGGACTCGAGCGTCCTTATATAGGTTCCGGGAAACCTCACAGAGGTCAGCCAAAGTTCGAAATCGAATCGACACTCAAATTCCGTATTATATCTAATAATTCATTATCTTATTAATTTCTGGTGTAAATTTATATTTTACATAATTTACTATAACAATATATGCAACAATAGGTACGTCTTATTTGTTTAAAAAATTTATTTATGTGTTTAAAGCTGATATATCGTTGCAAACAATTTGATTATTCTTTTTAAAGTAAAATTAAGCAAATAAGGGTTAAAAATAATGTTAACCAAAGGGCCTCCTGTACCCCATACCCATTACTCATCGTGAAATAAGCTATATTTCGCGCTTTTTATAAATTTTTCTGATTTATTTAATTTATTTACTTTAGAATACTCCCGTACGTTTTTAATTGTGTATTTACTAGTTTTTCCAAAAAATACATAGATATAGAAGAAATTACGATGACTTACCGATAGTAGGCGTTTAATATTTAATTCTCTTTTCGTAGAATAAGTAGTTGATTATATCGTAATTGGAACTTTATTTTTTAGAATTTATTTTAGAAATTTATTTCTTCATTAATAGTATTGTTATAAAAGAATGAAATTATGGTAATCTTAAGTGAGTTTTACTAGTTTTTAATTTGAAATCTCGACATATTTCACGCTGTCATTAGCAGATGGCAGAACCTTCGAATTCACATCAATTCCTTTCATCTCTACCAATGGTAATACTCGACAACAGATTCCTAGCCATCACCGTACATGCGTGTGCTGCAATCTAGTAACTCACTGTCGAACTACAACTGGATTAATCATATAGTTCCAGGATTTAAAAAAAAACTCCTATTTTTCAAAAATTAAGCGTGATAGATCAATTTCGTTTACGATTTCGTATTCAGGGATGTAACCTTCACAAGAGTTACCCGATGGATATTACAGTTTTGAGAAAACTTTAAAATCTACTAAACAGTGTAATTAATGACTCAATTTGCACACATGAAATTATCAAAAATACATCGTAATACATTAATTTCTCGTGCGATTCGGACTCGAACCAGGAGTCTTCAGTTTCGTATCCTGGGGCCAATTATTGGCAGTGTGTCTGACGTATCCAGGATCGGTGGGTGACGAAGGTGTTCGTATATTGGGTGTCTGCGTTCCTGTGCTCGCTGTTCGAAGGGACGTAAAACATTCTTCCAGTATCTCGATTTCGTCCTTTCTTTGCACCATTTCTTTCCCGTAGCCCTTTGGTGGAGGTGGGACATTGAAAGAAACATCACGGTTCTTCTTATGCACTTTCGGCGACGTTCCCTTCATCCTAATTGGCACGTTGTCATACTGACTAATGTCAGAGTATCTATGAAATTACAAAATAATAAAAATTCTGAGGAAAGAGGACTAAAAATTCCAGTGTCCTATCCATTACCTACCTGTAACCCTCGAAAGCTTCCTTCGCGTCCCGCTCAACCTTCATAATCTTTACACCAGGGTTCATAATTTTTGCGAATATAGTCTCGTTCTTGCGATTCATTTCAACCGGGAATCGAGGTGTATCGATTTCATCTATTGGACGCTGATAAATGTCCTGAACTTTGTACATCACGGTAGGCATCTCCATTCTGTGATCCATCTTATAAGAGTCCCTGTTCGCAGCCTTTTGCATCTCAGAGTCTCGATACATTTGCGAGTCCCTGAGAGCCCTCCCATTTTCGAAATTCTGCGCGTACTCTTTCGGTTCTCTGTCAATGTGGTTGAAATTCTCGTTTTCTTCGTCGCTGTATGCATCTTTCTGATTAGAGCGACCCTGTTCCCATTTTCGAGGATCCTCTGATTGTTCTTGCGCTGAACTCTTTTGACGTCGTTCTCCTACTTTTTCGAAACCATCGTTTACGTTACCACTGTCATCTTTCTTGGTCACCACAGGTGTGCTTATATTTGGGGATTTTGATTCTTTTTCGGTGCTTAGAGTAGTCGTTATTTGTCGTTTGGCTATAATATTTGGATTGAAAATTATATATATAATTATTTTTGGATAAAATAAATTCAAAAAAATAGTAGAAAATATATCTTGTCTGTGAATCTTTTCATTTTATATTTAGTACTTCCTTTCCTATTTTAACTGATGTGATGTATGGATTGTTTCAGCAACGTACCCCGTTTATCAGGCAAGAGTTCCCTCATATCGTGCTTCTCCTTCTTCTTCGGCGTGCTCATCAGCAAATCAGCGATGAAAACCAACGCTGTCAGCAAGCACAGTGCTCCGAAAACTGCAGCATTGTCTATCAAATTCTCAGGGACATTCTCGATGGACGCCATAGACAGAGCGCCGACAATGCCGAAGAGAATCACGCCAAGTCCAAGGAAGAATATTTCCTGAAATAAAAATAGAAGACAACCTTCGCACACCTGTTGATAAGGGTCATTAAATGTTAATGACTTCCTCCGTTCGACATAGTCTTCGTTAAAAATCACGGGACCTCTCGCATTTCCCATTATCACGTAAAATTCAGGAATAACAGTGGAACAGCCTTCACACGTGTACGAGTATCAACGATTTGATAATTCCTCTTTCTTTTCAACGTTTATATACAATAACGACTGTGTTGACACTCGATGGAACATTTTCGAAAGAAACTTCCGTCATTTATACTACAGCTGTAATAACCATAAGTTTGTAAGGACTTCCTCGAGATCAGGAATACCGTGTCTTTGTTACATGCAAATTGGACTTTCAACGATCGCGTAGATCTACATTCAGAAATCATCACGATCCACCTAGTCTCGGTTATGAGTCATTGAGTCTCAGTAGCATACTTATTACGTAGCCAATCTCCATACCCCAAGGATGCTGTTACGTCTTGTCTTCTAACTCGCATTCAGGATACCTCTAACCTTGCCCCCCTATGACAACGTTAGCACGACACGACATTCTCACGCTGTCGTTGAAACTTGTGATCTATATTTGACCGATTTCTCGTTCTACGAATTCATATGCATAACTTAGATGAAACATGGAAAAAGCAACCTTGGAAAAAGAGTTCTGCTAACACAGTTCAAAGCGTCGTTGTTTTAGATCGATTATCCCTGAATAGCTAACGAACGAGGAGTGTCTGAGAAAAACAAGATTCGCAACCAGGAAGAATATTGAAAATGCGATCTGCCCGAGATTAGTATCGTGGGAATATTTAATTCATGGCCTTGGAAGAGTATTTGTTGCTGAGGAATTGAACGAAGGAAAATTATGCGAGCGAAATGATCGTTGAGATACTGGCAATCGAGTCACTTCCGTGATTCAGGAAAACGTAGAAAGTAACATAATCTATTGGCAATAATATTAAGTAATGGATCAAGTATCGAATAATAATTCCAATTCTTAATCTCACTTTCACTAGTGAAATTCGGAGAAATGGGGAGCAAGAAGTTGGCTCTGAAAATTCTTTACTTCCATAGTGAATTTTACTCGATATTATTCGTGAATATAATATGGAAATATGTTTATATAATTGGAAACGATATTCAACAGCAATTTAAGGCCTCGTCGTTTCCACGGTAATTAGTTTAATCGTTATTGTTAGATATTATAATAAATTGTATTATATCTGCTGAATTTTTGCACGTAGGATGTTGAATGAACAGAAAGACATCGGTGTGCGATAAAATCGGTTCCGTCGAAGGACATTTTGTCCCGTGAAAGAGAAAGAATACCTTGAAGAGACCAAACAATGAGGCTATTAAGGAAGATGATAATTAGCGAGGAAGAAGAAATTAGGAGGTCGTAAAATGCATGTCGAATTCTTCGTGTCGCGAATATTGTGAAAAAAAGATGGAAAAAGCAAGAGGTTTACCGTTTTTCGCCCATTAAACTCTCCAGTTGCAGCAGCAATAAGAAGACCCGTCGTGATTATTATGTAACCACCACAAGTAGCGGTTGCAAGAGCGGCGCCTAGATTAACAAAAGAAAAGTTGCGTGATTTGCATTCCTTTTTGCCAACATATGGAATTTATACATAGGCAGTGAAGCGGAGAATTAATTCGTAAATTTTTCAAAATGTTTATACAGAGAAATATGTTGAGTAAGTAGAATTTCTGACAGAGCTCGGGAAAATAGAGCATACAAATATTTTAGAGGTATACAAATTTGAAGATGCTAGAGGATTTACATATATTGGGAATATTTTTCAGCGGAAGAGAAAATGAAATAAAATAAATATTTAACCTATTGCACCCCATGTGACGTTGTTCAGGAGGGACCATTCTCTGCTGCGACTTCTCAGGTAATGGAACACTCGTCGACTCTCATCATCAGTCACCCTAAGTGCCACCACACAGGCAATACAAAGTATCTGCAAATCAGTTTTCTATAATTTTATTCGATTCATTCACGATTACTGAATTAAAAATTAAGAACGTGTTGGAATTCGGTTATTTAATCTTCGGTTGCTCCGTTCGCAGAGACAATTAAGGATAATTAATCGTGGGAGTATTTTGAAGATTAATCATCTTATATCGCGAGAACACCGATGTAAAATTAATTAACGAGACATAATCGGAATGCAGATTGCGCGTACGACAGGAATGGAGCAATTTTTCTTGAAATATTACTTTGAAGCAACATACATAAACATTCCCCATAACTTAAACAGCTTATGGTAGTGAAACAAATTATACAATTTCTTCACGCACCACTTCGATGATCCTGATGAACACTTTGCGATTCCACATGTCTAATTTCGGTTACCAATAATTCTCAGTTTCGCGATACTCATCCTGTTATTGTCAAATGTTCACAGTGTCATTAGACATCTTAAATAGCATCGGGTACAGTACTTCATAGTATAATTTCACTTATCACGGCCCGCATAAGTATAATTCTTGACCAATCCATTAACACTGTCACATTCAAAAGACAAAACGAAATTACACAAATAATATTTGCATATTAAAGGAAGGAAACACGTCTAATTAAAACTATCGAAGAAATACATCCAGTCTATGGCTGCAAATTTAAAAAAAGGAAAGAGAAAATGAACGAATCGAGTTTCGAAAGAATGGACAATTAAATGTGCCCCGATAATGAATTCGAGGTGAAACGAATTAGCACTCGATAAAAGGACAAGTGGAGCATACGCGTTGCTTTATTAGCAAAATTCGAAGGAAATGGTTTGAAGACGAACCGCGACGCGTGTCGAACGACAACTGAAGAGATAGAGAGGATCGTGGTTCAAGTTGCACGGGCTACGGTGTGTCGCGTAATAAGGTCTGCATACTGCAGGTAACAACAATGCTATTATCGTACGGTGCATTGGCGCAGCACGGTGTGAATTTTCGCAATAAATACCATGGAAATGGTTAACGAACTGCCAGTACCTTGAACCGGTTCGATAAGGTTTCAACGAACCGACGGAGACAGTAGAAAGTTCAGAGAAAACTTTTTATTTGAATACGACACTCTCCTTGCTACCTATTGCAATTAACAATTTCGCACGTGTATCTTTGAATTTCGTTGGTAATTTTTTGGTAAAGATAAAGTAAGGTATGTTCGATAAAATTTTTGAATCTTGGTAAGTTAGGTTTTATATTATAGGTAATATCGTAATTATTAGACGATGGTTCATGGAGAACATACCGTGCATGAGAAACGTGAAATGATTCATCAATGCAACGTGACAGCAGCATTGATCCAGCTTAGGTTGGCGTAAAAAAATTATAGCTATGCCGACAAATTGCTTGTTTAACTCTCGTGTAACACAGTTTTCTTCTTGAGTCACTAGGTGAATCATTTATAGATTGAAAATTAAGACTTGTTCCACTGGATATGTAGATTCTAGTCGCTGACTTTTTCTCATTACATCGCAATCAGTACTCGTGTTAAATTTAGATATAAATTTATAAACTAATAATAATTGCTATAATTATATGTAGTATATGATCCTTTAAATATACGTACATATATTTTATGGAATTATTTTATTATAAATCGTATTTTTCTAGGGATCGCATTAATTGTTGTAGGATGAATAATTTCAGAAATTTAGAAGAGTTTCAAATCGTACTTGGTATTTCTTTCCCAGACTCGAGTTTTAACGTGCTCGCGACGATTCGGAAACATTGTATCGAATATTCTAGCCGAGTGGCCGTTGATCTCGATCTTTGAGCGAGCAGCAGGTTGCCGAGGAGACAATGTAACATCGGGAACCTAAAATATCACGAGTAATCGTCGAAGCTGTATATGGAAAATTCCTTTGAATTTATATTCGTCAAAAGCATTTGTATTTTTGTCATTTTTATTTTCTGAGAAAAATTGCTTAAAATATTGGTAATTGTTTAGTGTAACATGGCAGATAAATTATCATAACATTACTGTAGTATCATAAATTATCGTATCTAATTGCAGTCTTAATTGTTGTTGAAATGAGATCGTTAATATTCACCATATTCAGTGACACCTTCAATTTGCAACCGCAGGTACTTAATGTTGAATAATAGAACAGAAAAATTCTTGTTTATTTTCAATTTCAGTTTATTCCATTAATTGATATTCAGGTTCTTTATTCCTCCAAAATATCTTAATCTTGCTTAATTAACCTCGACAAATGAAAAGATTATTAAGCAATTGTTAGCCAGAGATAATTAGCCATAGTTGGTGATTCAGGAGTTAAATTTCTTTATTTATTTCTAGTACCTAAATTAAAAAGTATCCACTATAGATAATTTAATAAAAAGAAAAATTTCACTTTTATTGTAAAACCAAGCTTAAATTTAATAGTTAAAGGTTTTTAAAACAATCAATAAGATATTCTCTAGATACAAAATAAAATTATTATTACCACGAAAAAGAATATATAGCTGAAATATTATACATTGATATTTTTGATTAAATACGTACATATGTACATATTTTTAAAATCTAGAACATAATCGAAGAAATCGTGAAAAGGGAAACAGAAGAAAACATAGGAACGTGATGGAAAGAAGAAGGATTTACTGGATGAAGGGAGAGACGAATATCATCTCCCCACCAAAGGCTAAATAAAAAATAAATTTATCCAATGGCAACCAGTCCGAAATAAGCGCCATCTGATCCCATACACTTGACCCATGGCACAGACGTGGTTCAGTGCATCAGTCTCTTCCAAACCGTGGTGGAATGTTTATTGATCATCGATCCCGGGTCTCCGGTTAGTATCAGTTCTCTGTGCCAGGAAGATCCTTGACAGATCAATTTGTTTCTTTATTCTCATTAATTGGACGAAATATGAACTTTCGATAGAATGACGGCTCAGTAAGAAAGTGGTAATCGAAAGAAAAGAAAGTGTCAACCAGTATTAAGAGCAACGACGTTCAGATTAATCAAGACGAAACAATGATTTCGACATTTCAACAATCAAACGGTTCCTTTAATAAAATTAACAAAGAAGACGATGGAAAACAAAAGTTGGGTGAGTGTTATCAAAAGTTATTTATAGTAAGAGATAGGATTCCCGAATTTTTGCTGCGAAATAATCAGTTGTGTCTGTTCGATCATTTTAATTCGTCCAGTCGTGTCTAAACATCGTGTGGTGACTTCTGTTCGATCATCATGGACGTGTTTTATCCTCTTTTATTGTAAAAATATAATTACTATCGAAAGCTTATCTGTCGACTGTAAACGACTTATCGTGAGAGTATCATCTGCCAAGGTATGCGAGAGCATAGTTCGTAAACCTTTTACATTTATTCAAAAGTAGAAATGTCTAATTCCACCAATATCGAATTATCACTGAAAGATACGTATAATGCAGACAGAGAGACGAAAATCCTATCCTGAGAATTCAATAGTAATATATTCTCGTTATTCGCAAGGGTATAAAATAATTCTAATTAACACTTTCAATTTAATTCAGCATACCTAAGAACTCGGAAGTCCATCGTGCAGTCACGAACTGCTGACATGATGCCGAACATAAGGGAACAAATAGAAACCAATTTAAAACTATTAAAATTTGTAGCCGATTCGCAGTTGACAATAACGCAAATTAATGGTCAAAGGAAGCTTGGTCCTCCTCTGGAATGGACAGGACCACCACCTAGCCCTAAATGCGAAATTTTCGTCGGCAGGATACCAAGAAATTATTACGAGCCCGAAATCGTCGGTGTATTCAGTTCCGTAGGAAAGATTTACGAATTACGCTTGATGATGGAATTTTCTGGCATAAATAGGGGTTATTGTTTCATTATGTACACCACTGAACAGGAGGCAGCTCGAGCTGTCAGAGAGCTGGATCAGTATGAGATTTGTCCCGGTAACAAGATCGGCGTTGTAGCGAGTCTTAATAATTGTCGGCTCTACATTAATCATCTACCACGAAACATCGACTCTGAATCGATCATAAAGGTTTGTTATTAATACCTTCTGTCTTACTCCACGGTTTTCTTTCATTTGTATTATTACCGACGAATGTCGCTCATTTTTTGTTATATGATTCCTCTTCAGAGAATTTATGAGATGACCGACGATATCGATAAGGTGTCCGTTTATAGAAGCTTGAACGGCTTCGTCTTTTACGCATTGGTTTCGTACAAGACCCATCGGGGTGCCGCCATGGCGCGAAGGAGATTAGTTCCTGAATCGAGGACGCTGTTTAAAAACTGCGAAGTGAAAATAGAATGGGCTTATGCGAACATGACGCCTTCGAATGTGGTGCGTATAAAAAGTTATTGAATTTACAAATTTCGCGCATCGTTTGTTTATAAATATTTAAAGGTAATTTCATTCGAATTATCTTTGATCGATGGAACTAACATGCTGCACGCGAATAAAATAAATGGCTAATTTGATAGAAAAAAGCTAAACTTTCAAATTAGTTTCGGGAAGTGCATATTTCTATGTTGTAATCGTTGTGTATCTATGTAAAGGGGTAGAAAGAATGATATGAATTTGGCGAAGAGAGGTCAGTGTTTGCAAATCGGCACCAGTGGCAATACGATTTTCCTTTTGCGCAGAGAGAACAATGACATCGGTCAATTATGGTCCCACGGTAAAATGGAACGTGGGTACTTTTCCTTGTTAACTTGTCTCTGCAAATGGCATTGCGATTTGCAAGAATCGTAAACACTCGCGCACGATACTCGAGTGCAGATCATTTTTATTATAATTTATATCTTGATAAATATTCGTTGTGATTCAATTTCCTCTTTTAAGGAAAAAAAAGGCAGGCATTCTTTGTTTATTGACTAATAGTCATGGCAACCGAAGCGCGTGCTAGCATTCCAGTATTCTATAAATTCATTTAGAATTGCATACATGCATATATAACATGCATATACAAAAAAAAATTATACAATTTTTATTGCGAATTACTTCATACTTATTTATGCAAAGGTATTTTAAAAACATATTTATCTTCGTATATAATTACTTCTTTTTAATTATGCCAAATTTATAACATCTAATATGAACAGATTCTTCCTTTACATAAAAGATCTTAAATAATTTTATTTTCAAAGTAAAATTAAGTAAAATTACGTTTTAAACGAATCAGTATTATTCCATGGTATGGTAAAGTGGTTTGAATTAAAGTAGTTCATATTTCTGTCACGAGCGGCGCCGCGATTGCCAGCCTACCTCAAAGCGAATGCGCAGCGTTAGATGCGCCGAGTAAATCAGTTGATCACGTGCTTGTTCGTTGTTGTCTTACACGAAATATATTTTGAGCATTGTACTGTCAATCGAGTAAATTAGAAAACAGTGAAAATGAGTTCTCCGACGATAACAAACAGTGAATATTGTGACTACCGCAGTCCCTTGGCAACGAGATACGCCTCGAAGGAAATGCGCTACAACTTCAGTGAGCAACACAAGTTCAGCACGTGGCGGAAATTATGGATTTACCTGGCCAAGGCACAGATGGTTCGTAACTGTCGAACTAAATTACCATAACCCGTTTATTCCCTGTGTCATAGCAAAATAATCAATTTTTCTTTTCCATTTTTCATTTGCTAACTGCATGTGTGCTCCATTTGTTTTTTGTCCTTTTCTTTGCCGCTAGTGATAAAGATAATTGTACTAGATAATTCTTTAGGAACATAGATGGAGTTCAATTACGCCGTCAATTCATGGCTGACGAGGTTCCATTATATTTTATCGAGAATATTATTATCACGTAAATCAGTTCATTTAAATAATTAAAAATATATACATATTAATAAAATATATTTATTAATTAAATATATTATATGATTTACGTGAAATAATATTACACGAATAGGAAATAATTTAAGAATAGAATTAACATATTCAATAAAATAAAAATCTATCTTTCGTTTTGTGCTCTAATCGATAATAATTAATAATAACAATTGCGACGTCGTTCTAAATATTAGATTACCACGCATTTTTTAAAGGTTATCGAGGACTCACATTTCACAAATAATTAGAACAAATTGTGATTTTGCAAACACAGGTTCTCTTCGTGAAATTTCAATTCAGCAAATTGGATTTATCATGTTCCCGACTTTTTTCTTCTTTTTTTAATCTAAATATTTTCAATCATTAACGAACTGCAGCTGGAGGAAAGCGGAACGTGTGACGAGCAGGGCAAAGTGGAAATAACGAAGAGCTTCATCGAGCCAACTAAGAAGATCGTGTCCAGCTTCAAACAGCGAGGTTACGATTTACGATGCATGATAAATAACGAACGATCGCAAAAGCTGGTCGGTATACCAGCGCCAGCAAGGCGACCGATCAAATGTGCTAAGGAGAACTCGTTAAAAAGCCAGAATAATTCAACGAATCAATACAAAACCGAAGAATGTAAAAGGAACTTATACTCGAATTGCTCGTCAGTAGCATTATCGAAGAACAAATACAAGGCGAAAGAAAATCTTGGTCCATCGTGGGACATAAACAGAAACTTGAACAACAATTTGGACCAGTCCTTGTTGCACAAACACCTCAAGAACCGTGTTCACCACGACCAGTCGACCACGATTCTTCCTGCGATTAGCTCCTACCTAATGTATTTAAACAAGAGAAAAGGTTTAAAGGGTTTGAAATGGAACGACTCGCAAAGATGTCCCAGAGAATCCTTCCGTGATATTCGTTTCGACGACTACCACTGTGTTGATCTTCAAAATTCGTCGAATAATCTCACGAAAAGTTTCCCTGAGTCTTTAAGCATCCCAAACGAGAACGATAACAGGGCTTACGTTAGGCTCATGCAGGGCAATGTTTATAAAAATGAACGAATTCTTGTAGAAAATAACGTGCCTCCGCGTCCGAATAATTTCTCGAATTGTCATCCCTTCAACGAGGCTAATTGTCAATTTACCAACTGTTATCAGTGTAGCAATTATTATCAGAATTTCGCGATTAATGCTACTAATCAAAGTAATCCTACGCCTTGTGTTCAATTTCCGAATCAGAGTTCAGCACATAATTTGCTGAGCGTACATAAATTACAAAGTTTATCACAGCAATTTTCACAAAATTACGTTAATCCTATGATGATCAATCAGAACTTTAGCTGGTCTCTTCCTAAGTTTTTGCCTATGGAAGTTTATTATTGCAACTCGGCAAGTATTCCTGATGCGTATAATAGGATTCTGAACGATTGCAAGTATTTAAATAATTGTCAGGTAGCTAAGAATTCGCAACAGCAGAATTACGAGGCTTTCCCGAGTGCTGTATCGAATTTCGATAGAAAATTCGCGTACGAAAATCCCATAAATACTGTAAATCCTGCGTTATATGCGAACAATTAGTGTATGATTTCTTTACCAAGCGATTAATTACAAAAATCGTCGACTGCTGATAGTAGAAAGTTACGAGATTGTGGAATATTATTCTAATCTTTGCTTCGTTGGGTGCCATTATGTAACGTTAGAATTAAGAGAAGATAGATAAGGTAATATCCATGCAAATATTCCATGGAAGTCTGGAGTTTGTTAGTTTTATTTATCGTAAATAGATATTTGTACTGGGAAACAGTATGAAATTGTAGGAAAAATTTGTGATTGAACATACTTTTTTTTAGCATTGAGATAATTATATGACATTATGTTAGAGCGTGTAGAGATTTTGCTAATCAGTATTTGAAAGAAATAATCGATGATTTGTATTTTTACAATTAGTGTTCTGTATCTTGTGACGATTTTGTTTATTAAGTATACATACTTATTGATTTTTGATAGTCTCTGGAGAATGGAAAATTTAAAATTTGATATAAGCTGATGTTTCTTAATGATTCATTGTCTTCTCAAGGTTTATTATATGCAAAGCAACGTCGTTTTATACCAAAGAATAGTAATATATATTAATGGTAGTTATTAGATGATCGTTACTCCTTATTGATGTAATCACAAAAATCTGTATCGATTGTTATGCATAGTGTCTTTTCTGATCAGCTTCTGGTAAACTTATAGGACTATAAAAATTGTTAGGTACATTCCAGCCTTGGTTCTTTGTACTTTCCCCTTTCTACGGTATTGCACGTTTTGCACGTATAGATTTTAATTTATCGCTTATTGTATTACATTTTTTAAATTAAATGATCAGTATCATCGTGATAAAGAGATTTTACGGGACGTGTATAATTTGTTTGCGAAATTACCATTTATTATAAACATTGGAAATAATGTTAAGATAGATACAATGCTGTTTTATGACACATTATAATATTTTACAATCATCCTTGAGTATGAAGCATTGTTAAAACATGTTTTTCTTATAATCAACGATCTCTTATCTTTTTTAAAGAAATAAACAACGTTTTTGAATACTTAAAATATTTTACACGGTTAATAGGTCGTTTCATATGATGAGAAATTACACTTTGTTTTGTTTTGGAATTTAGAGTCCCTCGTCGAGCTGTAAGCAGTAAAATAATTATCGTTTATAAATTTATCCATGAACTTGGATAATTAAACACTTACCTGTGACCACAGTTCTCTCGCGTTCATTCGGTATACGATTTTCATTTATGTACATGAATATATTTTCTTGATTAATTTAATTTTAATTATATTCAACACTGCGTCAATTTTTGGGGTAGAATTACGCTGATACAGTAGTAGACTGCGCAGGTATCTGTATTTGGCCGCATTGTGGACAATTGTCTGTCTTATTTCTTTTAGTCTGTAAGTCGAAGAGAATGTAACACGAGTCACTTACAATTTATCGCAGCGCAACTCACTTGACTACGTAAATAATTCCCACACGCGTAACATGCCAAATTTTTCTGATCCGCCTCTTTCTTGTGTAATACCTAAGGCATTTCAAAAGCGATATTTCGATGTATGCAACATTTCTGTAATTTTATAGTACCTTAACCGATTTTTGTGGCGCGCAATATTCACAGTAGAATCGTCCTCGTTTATCCCTATGAACGTAACAATACTGAAAGGAACTCGACGTTGTGGGTACCTGTTAGAGTGTCAAATCAAACGGCGAAATAAATTATATTCCAATATTCATGACTGTTGTGATCAAAAATATCAAATTGTCGAAATTAACCTGCAGTCTTTTGCAAGCGAGACAAATATTTATAGCTTTTTCTTCGGGCGAGGCAGGCTTTTCTGCAAAGAGTGTCTATAAAATATTTCATTAGGCTGAATTATTTATGAAACAGTGACACGTGGTTCGTTTCTTAGTCAGAAAAATTGCTTTGAAACTTGGTTCAGTTCGCTTGTGATACCATTACCTCAGTCTCCGTTGCAGGAACGCTTGCAGAGGTGTCGGTAAGATTAGAAGTTTGAACATTTATATCGGTATGTCTGAAAATATCAATTTGTGCAAAAATAATAGTACCTGACGAGATAATTATTTCAGAGACGAATTTAGAACAATATGTTATCTCCTTACGTCAATTCGGCAGGCTCAACTTTGTTTTTTTTTCGGAAAACGTAGGTTCTTTTAAGTCTGTTATTCGGGCCGATCACTTCTGCTAGATTTCTAAAAGGATCGAGTAATCGAGCGTTTAAAGCAATTTCCGGTGTAGTATCGCCTATGTATCGCGGTCAGACGAGATTAGGATTATTCAGGCTGCAGTTATATTTTACGACACGTTTCGCTAAAGTAAAGTAAAATTCACTACGTTCTCCTGTGCTATATTAATTATTATGTCCTGCATTAACACCAAATGGAATAAAAATATTCATTCCTATCTTTACCAAGGAATGAAACATAAGATCATCTTTTCATCTTCGACTTGTCAAAATTAGAAAGTATCCAATTTAAAAAAAAGAAAAAAAAAAATGAAATTCTGAAAGTGCTATTATTTACTCCAAATAAAATTATAATATATGAAACAAAATTATTTCTTACGTCTGTGTTTCTGCCTGAGGTTGAGGCGTGGAATCGGTTTCCTGTGACTGTTCCACAGTTTTAACATTACATTTCGACTTATCAGAGACCTTAGTATCCTTCGTATATTTCTCGGTCTCATTTTCATCGTCTTCCGTTTGCTTCTGTGCCATAGACACCTCCGAGTCCTTGTACGACATCGTGCTTATCTCAGATTCCGAATTATACTCCATGACTTTGCCCGAGTTGATCGAATCCGAGGCAGCCATCTTCTCGTCATCCTGATCAGCAATCATGACTCGCGCCTGTTTCGCTTTCCGTTTCTTTTCGTTTCTCTTGTCCCCTGTACCATCGACGTGTATCCCCCGTTTCGTCTGATTTGTACCCGATCTATCCAGGTCGATCTGTTTCAGCGGAGACTCCGACTTGGTTCCCTCGATTTCCTGCAGGCGATCTATCATCTCCGCAACTTGACGTCGCGGAGGGATCAGCTTTTTCTCGGACAACGTCTTGTGGATGTCTATCGACCTTTCCGAAGGACTTTTCGCTTCTTCCGACAGAGATTCTGGCACCTCTTGCGGGGAGGATTCCGACAGCTTTTCCGCCGGAGGTTCCTTTGGCACTTCCTTCTCAGCAGGCTCTATCGCGGCGGGTTCTGCAACCTTCTTTAGGGCAGATTTCATCGACCCTTTCGCGTCGTCACTCGTTGGTAATTGTACTTTCTTCGTCTCCGATATCAATACCTGATTTTTATTCTTCGCGTCTGATTTTTGGTCCTCTTTATCGATAAAATGATATTCGATCATTCTTGGCAGGTGGTAAATCTATCTGAGTCGTCTTACATCGTTTTCGGCACGGCAGTTTGACACGAGGTATGAATTTTCTTCGGTGTCACGCAGTAAGATGCCAAAGTCAATTTGGTGACGATTTCCGGGACCCCTGCTGAATTTGGATCTTGCTGTTGATGCTGGTTGCCTTGGGAAAAATGAATATCTGGAATTAAGGTTCCGGGAGATCGGCTGATCGCTATGGGTTCTAGTTCATGGTAAAACATTGTCAGTTGACAGGTAAAATCGGTAGTGAGGGTTTTTGGTAGCAGTACGTTTCACTGTTCCCGGTTCACCGAAGGAATAATCACTTTTCTACGTTTCAATGGTATATTTGTCATATCTCAAAGCGTTTTATAATATCGGAAGATAGTTGTACTAGATCTAAGATAATTGTTAGATCTAAGAAATGTCACGCGTTTGCTGTCAAATTAACGCCTGTACTCGCAACCTGACGGAGTCGATCATTCTCACTCGTCAACATATCATCCACCGGTTGCACCCGTGTTTGGTCCTTGGTAGCTTCCTTATCCTGCTTCGCCTGTTCTGGTCGCTGCGTTTGCTGCTGTTGACTCTGCCGTGACACTTGAATTATACCTCTGACGCACCTACAACTGATCGCGATAAATTTCATTGGTTTCGTCTCGTCCAAGGGCTAACGTTACTCGCCAATTTTTCCTCGTGTCAGTTGCGCAAATTATTTAGAAATACTAACCCTGTACAGCACGGTGTCCCTCTAAGAAGCTGCACAAGTGCTGGGCAAGGTACACATGGCGTTTGTTGAGTTGCTGGCTGCATCGGGGAGCCCGAGAATCGTATCTGCTGGTTGCATAGCTCGCATCTGCTCACCGTTTGCACAGGGGTCTCTTTTACTTCTCGATCAGTCTAATCGAATTCTTGCAGTTATTCACACGCGATTTGGTGAAATAATAATCGATCGTAAAGAGGCTCTTGGTCTTTTTCATTTTGATAGCTTATTCCGATTTCTATAATTACTTTTAGTCTATTTACTGTCAATTTTATTTTTGTTTTTAGCTTTATTCCTGTTTTATTTTCCGTGCTTAACGTTCGTATTTGTATTATTACCTGGCTTTGCGTGCTCGACGTCTGATTGCGTTCCGTTTGAACATCAGCAACCTCCAGGAAGCAGAGATTTCTAGCACTCGTTGGACAATCGACGTATTGCCGTCGATGTCCATATGAGATTTTCCTCTTGCTGTGATCAGGCTCCGCGTTCTCGTCGCCGGAAGCTACTCTGATGCTGCTGACGCTGGTCATCAGGTCATGTTTGACCGTCTAGATTGTAGAGAGACACCTTAAAAGAAACGTGACACTCCAGGAACATAGATTACTTCGATCCAGTTACATTAATATTACAATGTCATTAGGAAAATATCTCTATAGAATTTACTTATTAAAATTATACAGCGAAATACATCGAAATACTACATTTTTAAAAGCAACGCGAATCGCGAATGAAAACGACGGTCGGTTCTTTGCGTGTCGAAAGTATAGTCAATCGAGGGTGAACCGTGGGATAGGAAACATGAAAAAGTCGATTGCTGGTAACAATCGTACACACATGGTGGGTCACGAGCTGTACTTTCTAAGTACCTTTACTTTCCTGTTTCTCCGTAATTTATTCTATTAACTCATCCTTTGTGAATAGCAACAAGAGCTCATCCTGACATAGCAAGGTTCTAGAAGTAGCCTAATTTCTAAAATAATTTTAAGAATTATTGATATAATAAAATAAACACGAACTCACTTCGGTACACAAGGGATCGCAGAATTTTTTCTCATATAATATTTCCGGCTGCTTAGAGTGACAATACTGTTGGCAGATATTACAGGTACGTCTCCAATACCTATACGAAACACACGATACTTGGGTGACAGAAATTTTGGAACCGAAAACATCGAACTGGAAGATTCGAAACTTACGCGAGTATCAGCGCAATCTCGACCATGAAGAGGATGAAGGCGAGAAGCGAGAGGCAAGCCATTGCTATTATGTGCCATGTCGAGGAGTATGCGGATAACAGAAGGGTTCCAGTGGTTGAAAAGAATATCGTGCCCAGGAAGGCGAAGAGGAACATCTGAAATCGAGAGATCAAATAATTTTCGTTGGAATCTCTTTGTACCTTGTCGCGATTGTCACGAAGATCGATGCTCCGTGTCAAGTTTGGCAGAGATTTCCTCATACGAGTGATTACCGGCAACGTCTTCAGCTCTTTTGTGCGCACTTGACTGATTAAATCGATGGGAAGGACGATCACGTAGACTCCAGTGAGGGCGATGAGTAAAATACACGTAACGATTGGTAAAATGTCAGCCAGTATTATCGTGTAAATGACAAGTACAAAGATCAGTAGTATCACTAGCTAATCAATCAAACACACGGTTTATATTAGTTTTATGCGGTTGGTTTTCAAAATGCGTATGCACTGTCATGAAAGGCAGCATTAGGTTATTTTTAATACTCACGAATTGGAATATTCTCAGAGGTCTAATTACTAAACGAATGCACTTGGTGATTCTCTCCTTCTTCGTTTCCAGCCGAGAATTCGACTTGCTCTTTAAGGAACATATGCTTTCGTGCCAGTTATTCGTATCTGGAGATTGGAAAACGCGAAAATCTGATGAACGGGAAGAATAGGAAGATTCGAGGGGGTAGATGGGAAATAATTAAACCTTCGCACTGCATGATCACTTGGTTTTAAGGAGATTCATCAGCTTCCTGTCATTGAGCGAACCTCTATCATGGTTTGTGCAATATTTCACACCTAATCCAGTTTTTGTTTATTGTCGTGTTGAATCGATGCGTTGTGTATCGATACGTTGCGGTTTTTAGAGGTTATGTTCACGAGTCACTTGTAAACACTATTATAGTGGAGAGATGTGTCCAAAGTTTGGCAATTTTTGTGAACGAGTAATTGAGATATAAATGAAAAACACGAGTGTAGGCAATTAAATAAAAATTAAAGTTTTATGCAGGTATATTAAATAATAAAACACGCTATTTTCTCGCGATTTATTTTGTACATATTACATGGCATGAGCTACATAAAATGTTTGTCTTATATACGTTTACTTTCTTTATTGATAAATCTTACATTTAGCTTATAAAATTATATTACGAAAGGTTATTAATAATTATTAATTTAAGGAACGATGTAAACATCGTTTATATCGAGATATAAATTGGACGGAATGTATTTTGATAAAGACAATTTTTGTTAAATCTATACAATAGATCTATAAATTGATAGGTATATAAAGACAAATCGTAATTTTTTTACGCGATATAGTTACAATTAACGGTATAAAAAGTAGATATAATTTTTACCGATTATGTAATAATATTCATGGCAATTCTGAGATTTGCAATACATATAAAATGTATAATACAAGTAAGAAATATAATATAGTTATTTATCAGATTATGGTAATACTACTCTAGTTATACAAACTTCGGACTATAAATAACATTTAATATAGTATATTCATATTTTTCGGTGGATCTTTATATTTTCTTAAAAATATAACGTGTGTCTTAGACGTAGAAAATCTTTGGATATTAATTGCTACTGATTATTACATGCTACGTTACAGAAAGAAAAGAATTACGACTACGAATCCTATAAAACGAACCTAAAATATTATTATCATGATCGTCTGTAATTTAAAGCTATAGTTCATTTAACCTAATTACCTACGATAAAATTCACTGCGCCATAATTTGTACATTTCCTAAACATGCCTACAGCCCTAATTTTCGCGCGATATCTAAGCTAAATTTTCTTTCAAAAAATTGGACGGACTCAAACTTACAGCTAATCTTTGAATATTTGGCTCGTGAATTGTTTTTGGACTGTGCTTTACTGTACACAATTTTCTCTTACTCGATTATTCTTCAATGCACGACGTGGAACACATTCGGTGGAAAGCCATTTGCTTTTCTACTTTTTCGCTCCAAATTTCATGCTGTTTCTCGAAAATATCCGACATTCTATTCGCAACGCTTATTTAAAAATATTACTATTACAACATATACATTTTTAACATTTACATTTGTAGAATTTGTATCGTTTAAAGCCTCCAAGATACCTCGTAGCAAGTCATCAGACGCTATTCGTCATCATCTCCAATGTCCCTAATCTCTTTTTCCATAAACGCGTGATATTCTTCCAAAATTTCCGTATAATTAGTTAACGAGATATTTTTACAGCCTCGTTGATACTTCATCGTCGATATCGTCGAGTGTGCACTTGCAGGTGCGATTCTCACAAATTTTTCATAACACTCGTTCTGATTCGTAGACAGTGCTGTTGTCCCTCTTCACTCAGTGGTCTTGGACCAGAATTTGACGAGGAAGAAGATCTCGAAGATGAAAGCCACCGAGTTGGCGAATGTGAATATAGATCCTGATATTAACATGTCCATGTACTGTTTGCTTGGATAGTATCCGTTGTTGTTGAAATAAGGGCCGAGGATCGTCCGCCAATTGTAGACAATCACGCTTCCAGCCACGATGTGCAGAAGCGCGCCGACCGAGGCGAATATTATCAGCTGCAATCAGAGCAGATCGATGTTACTTGTAAATGCATCGGGATCAACGATCCACTTTTACTTCTTTGTCTTCTCAAGGATAACAGAACGACGAACGTAGGAAATGCACGATCCTATGAATTTAATATCGAGCTAAACGTCATAGAGTGGTCATAGAGAAGAGTCGAGGGAAGTCGAGGAGAGATCGTTGCCTAGTAAATGGTGACTCTGAAAAATTATCAGGATCGATCCTCAGGTATCTGAGAGATTAATAGTATTTCAATTCTTACACCTGAAATTTAGAAATAGATTAGAAATATCCCAAAATAGTACTTAGAAATAGAAACAGTAATTTGGGTTACAAATGGTAATCGAAATCCTTAGTCGAAGTTCATATAATCTGCTATAAATCTTTCACCAGTGATCATCATGGTGGTTGTCTCCTCAGTGGAGTTATGGTCGTCACTAACATCCGGCGATATTAATTTTTTTAATTTATATTTGTTTCATTATAACCCATTTTTGGAAATCTGAACAACGTAAATAAATAGAGAATTTTAAATAGAAAACATTAATAATTTGCACCATTTTTCTTCTTTCTTTTTACCATATTGTTCGATAATTCATCATATATCTTAAGAATATTGGAAATTTTAAGGTATCTGAGAGATTAATAGTATTTCAATTCTTACACTTGAAATTTTGATTAGAAATATCCCAAAATAGTAATTAGAAATAGAAATAGTAATCGAAATCCTTAATCGAAGTTCATAGAATCTACTATAAATCTTTCTTCTCGAATTAACACGTTGACTGTCATGGTGGTCGTGGTCAACAGTGATCGGTGCTTGACTCCTCAGTGGAGCCATGGTGGTCACTAGCATTCGGCGATACTAATTTTTTAAATTTATGGAAATTGAATTAATTAATTTTTTTAATTTTTTGAAATTTGACAATAGAAAATATTAATAATTTGCACCATTTTTCTTCTTTTTTTTAAACATATTGTTCGATAATTCATCATTATATATCTTAAGAATATTGGAAATTTTAAGGTATCTGAGAGATTAATAGTATTTCAATTCTTACACTTGAAATTTTGATTAGAAATATCCCAAAATAGTAATTAGAAATAGAAATAGTAATCGAAATCCTTAATCGAAGTTCATAGAATCTACTATAAATCTTTCTTCTCGAATTAACACGTTGACTGTCATGGTGGTCGTGGTCAACAGTGATCGGTGCTTGACTCCTCAGTGGAGCCATGGTGGTCACTAGCATTCGGCGATACTAATTTTTTAAATTTATGGAAATTTGAATTAATTAATTTTTGTAATTTTTATTTGATAATAGAAAACATTAATAATTTGCACCATTTTTTTCTTTTTTTTCCATATTGTTCGATAATTCATCATTATATATCTTAAGAATAATGAAAATTTTATTCTGGCCTCCTGAATATACTACTTAAAAATCACGTGGCAGTCAACGTGTTAACTTTTTTAATTGACACAAAGATTTTTTAATCTTTGCATTCCGTACTCTAATTGCTAACTCGAATTAGAAATTGCCCGTGCAATTAGGATCCTCAGACGATATACACGCAATGTGTATTTGAAATTTCGAGCTGCTCCATTTTTGGATTTCTTTTCAGCCGAAGGAGGCTCTCCGAAGAATTAATTACTCGTTTTCTCGAGTCCGGGTATCGTTTCTAATTGTTTCATCTGAAATTCGAATTAGAAATTCTCAGACGAGGTGCAGGTCGATTCGAAATATCCTGCTTCCGAAATTTCTTAGACTAAGGAGGCCACGGTGTCGTTCACTTTCGTGCTGAACATAACGATTATTCCACGTGTTATCACGTCCGTGTGACACGGAACGACAATAATTATCGCGTTTCTCGAAGCGACTAGTCCCAGATACCATAGGTTTCGATCGTTTGGCGAACATAAACGCGAAGTAGGCGCACGATAAACGGTACGGGAACCTGGACGTTGATAAGTTATGAATCTTAATGAAACTAGAACGGAACACGTGTGTCGATTTCGAACGAGTAGCTCGCAAATGTTGATCAGATTATCGCCGCACATTTCTAAAACGTAATGGAAATTTGTATAAATTTTGTGCAACGATTTTTCAAAATTATTAAGAACACGACTAACGCGCGTAGTTTGGCGAGTTTCTAAATTGTATACACAGGAATAGCAGAGTCGTTAAAATTAAATTAGCCACGAGCCTCTAATTGATTTCTAATGTCAGAATTATAGTTTCTAAACGATACCAAGGGTAGATCGATACAGTTATTTAGCTGTTGCCTGTCATCCTGATGTTATTTGCGAGCTATAAAAATCAGGCGAACCGTCATTATTCTACCTTGAATACTTAACGAGGTCGTTATCGAGTAAATGCAAATATTTGATGAATCTTATGACACGAAGCTTTACCTGTAATATTTTTCAATTTTCTGTGATATACAAAAATATATAAATTATCGAGAAGCATCGTAAGAAAAGTTTATAGAAAAATTTGCGAAATTCTCGCAAGTTCAATTTCCTGGAGTAAAAATTTGCTACTGGCTAACTGTGATTATGATTGTTCGCGTATGATAAGATATGCAAATGGTTTTGCATAGTTGGAGCGAAGCGAAGATTATGCTAAAGACTCGAAGGACACGTGATATTTATCGAATATGCTATTTCTCCAATGACTTAGCCGTGTAAATGGGTTCCAGTTGGAGATTATCGAAATGCCGGAAACTTCAGACCCCCTGATGGATTTATGTGGAAAACACTGAATGTAGGAAATGAATTTGGCGCGATGTTATTTGTCCTTTCGCGATCGTCACGCGATCCCTTGATCGCAACGTTCTGTCATTTATTATCGTCAGACCTGTCACGTAATCCGTTTCATTGCCATAAAAATTCACGATGAACTTAGTACAAAATCGAACGACTCGTGTCAATGATACGTTTTATACTTTAATTTCTGCACTTTACGATTTTAAATAGAAATAACTTACCGATCTCTGCGGTATTCGATCTCCAATCATGTGGCAGATGATGAAAAGCGTGTTTATTATCATGTAACTACCGATAGCGATGTAAATTATCGCAGCATCGTCCAGCTTGAAGTGCGATCTGACCAAGATCTTTTGGAACGAATTTAGTGGATCGACGATTAATCCGATCGAGAACACAGACAGGATCTGTTGAATATAATGACACGTTAGATTAATCATTTGAGTGCCAAGCAGCGATTTTGCGCTTCTGTTTCGCTAAACAGTGTCAACGCTTTGGGCTGTCAAGTCTACAAACGCGAGACGCTCGTTTCTGTTGATGAGTGACTTTACAGCTATCGTTTGATGTTAGGTAAATTAAAATAAAATTGGAGTAATATTACAGTTTGTAGGTGTACACCTTTCTATTCTTATAAACAAAGGCTGTGACTACTTATGCTCAGAATTGCTTATGTCAAAGCGACACTGAATTGAAAGAATTACAACTTTTGGACAGGGAAACAGCAAAGACCCGTGGCACTCAAACAGTTAACCAATTGCGCTAGCAAGAAATTTACAGACGCGTGTACCAGAATGGTCCAGTATTTCTGTGACAATTGCCTGACGACGTGTATACCACGTCGTTGGCGACTCTGCGACAAAAGCATTACAACGTGCGTGGCACGTCTTTCGAGCGCAAGTGGTTAATAATCGATATTCGTATCACTTCGATAATTTTTTGAAATTTATAGCAATTGGATAGCACGTAAATATTAATTACTAAAATTTCTTCATCGAGCGATTCGTTCTTTCTCCCTGCTTTGATTATCAGATAAAAATCGTGTACTTACAACTTCCATAATTTTCATCAGAAGCGGTATGTGCCTCATTATATTCCGTTCCTTACGGGCAGGCTGGTCCTGCTGACTCTCGTCTGCCATTCTGACTCTGCGGTGTTTTCCTCTGCCGTCACCCAGTTTGAAAGATTTCAAGTCCACCCTTTGTTCACGAGCAATTCTTTTCACCCCTCGTTCCTAATCTCCTCTCATCAAGCAAATTGAACCTTGGTAGCAGCGAATAACGCGATAAGCATCTGAATTAACGGGGAACACGTTGCGTGTATGAATTAGAGACCGGTGGCGGCGTGACGTGATTTCGGACACGTGTGGTGGTTCTCGCATGCGTTTAATAAGTATCCCGTAATTCCTGCTTTCTCGTGAACCGAATTTTATCCTCTACTCGCAATAAACTTCCAGAAAGATAAAAATAAGGTACCATGAAACATCGGGTACTGCTACATTCGAACGACACGAAGCCACGTAAACAAAGATCTACGACTGTGCACGCATTCATATTTTCCTACACAGCTAGCATTCCTTACGTTTCTGATTCATACGTATTACACAACCACTGGGTACATGACTCAATGGCGGAGTACTACACGTCGAGTAACAGAAACGACATCTGATTCTATCGAGACTCTAGTGCGTCTAAGGTATCACCGAGATCTCTCGCCAAACTTCCGTCACGAATCACTGCACCTGCCTCGAAAATCCCCGTTCACGTTCTCCAGTAATATATATGTATATATTCATACCTCTTTCAACCACTTCGTACTTCCACCCACGTGGACTCGAAGACACAATCCGATTCCTCGAACCGAGTCACGCACACTCTCCGGTCAGCTTTGTTCTCTTCACCACACCAGATAGTAGCGGAAGAATTTGCAGGAATTCTAATGGAATCGCGAGGTCGATCGTAGAGATCGGTCACTATCGATCGTTCGGTCTGAGCAGGAGCGTAGTCACGTCGATGGCAGCTTGGAGAAGGTGGAATCGGCGAGGAAACACGTAGTTCCACACTGTGTGGCGGACCAACTTAAACTGGAACGCCAAGCGTGACACACCGCGAGGCTACGTCGCGTACGTGCAAGTTGCGCAGGCGGTCCGCTTTGTTAGCCAGGTTCACCGTATGACCGTGTCGCACTCGTTCGCTCCCGATCGTGTCACTGCCGCGTAATTTCGCGAAAACGATCCTCGCGTGCTTTCTAACTCGCTCAGATACGTCTAACTCCTCGAGTCAGTCGAGATGATCCCGGCTGACTTCTTGGCAGACCTCTGTCCCGAGGTGTCGACGAGGTCTCTCGAGGAAAGTGGGATTACGTAACGACGGACTCCTCGACTGTTTCGAGTGTTTCTTGGTCGTGGAAATTCTTCATGGGTGGAGGGTTACCGCTACTTTCCGCGCCGGGTGCCCTGTGACCGCGCAGAGCATTCTGTCCCTGAGGAATAATGGGTCGTGGGCGAGGCTCCTTTTTCTGGGTTAAATTGGTCGAGGCGGGGAACGTGGTCTGTCTGCGCGAAATTCGTTTCATCGTGCCTGTTTAGTCCTCGTGTTTGTCTTGCTTCGTGTCGTGATCCATGCAGTTTGAGAAGGTCTGGCGACGCGGCCTGCGCAGCCGGTTGTCTGCTAACAATTAGGTGTGTTCCTCGAATGATCGTCGTTGTCAGCGACACGTCATTATGCTTTACTGGCGGTGATCGATACTGGGAATACACTAAGGTATCGATGAATCGCGAGCGTTGTAAAATGTCAACCTTAAGGCGAGATTCTAATCTTCGGATTGGCAGCGTCGATAGGAACCGAGGTTGTTACCATGTCGATATGAGATTAGTAAAATTTAGTTCGTTGGAATACAGAATTTTTAGTTTTCGAGGTTGAAAATTAGGTGGAGTCATCGAACCAGACATGTCTTCGTGTCTTGCTTCGGATCTTTTGTCCTCGCGATTATCAAAAACGTGGCGTTTAAATTCGCAAAATTTATCATCGGCTACTAGAAGCGTTATCGTTTTAACTCTCTGCGGCACAGGATTTCAGATAATAAAATAGACCCGTGTTGCATAGGAATTTTATTGCGTTTTGAATGAATCAAAATTGGTATATTTTTATTAATGAAGGAATCACATAATGTAAAAACATAAAACCAGGAAAGGAAGATTGTCGCAATAAACCTTCCACTTGCAACAATTGATGAACCTGTACTGGCATGTTGAACATTGTCAACACGAGTGAATACATTTATAACATTTGTTGAAGGTATTTCCAGCTGCTTTACGTAAATAAGACGAAATATACACCTATGCTTTCGAGGTTGAAAATTAGGTGGAATCATCGAACCAGACATATCTTCGTGTCTTGCTTCGGATCTTTTGTCTTCGCGATTACCAAGAACGTAGCGTTTAATTTCACAAAATTTATTATTGACTATTAGAAACGTTATCGTTTTAACTCTTTGCGGCACAGGATTTCAGATAATGAAATACACCCATGTTGCATAGGAATTTTAATCCGTTTTAAATGTAACAAAATGTGTATACTTATACTAATAAAGGAATCACTGGTACGTTGAATGTTGCCAACACCAGCGAATACATTTAAAACATTTGTCGAAGGTATTACCGACTGCTTTACGTAAACAAGACGAAATATAAACCTATGCGCGTGCAGCTATTGCAATATTTCGAGGTAGGGCTAAAAATGTCCCACCATGCATTACGGTGCATCAAAAGGTGGGACATTTTTAATCCCATCGTGTCCCAAAGAGTTAAGACGAAGACTCGACTGACGAAATGCATCGAATGCGTTAACACTAAACCTAAATTAGAGCTCAAATGATCCTTCTTATATCTTTAATTAAAAATTTCGCGTTCAACTTTGTCTCCTTTTAATATGGGTGTAATTAATTTTGCAATATCTCTTGTCTTCCATTTATTCAAGTTTTTCTTTCAGTCTAACCTAACCTAACCTAACCATGCATTACGGCGTATCAAAATGGCGGGACACTTTTAATCCCAGCGTGCCCCAAAGAGTTAAACGATCATCTTAATCTTAAGAGTCTCTTCAAAGACCCTGGAACCTGACAAAATCGCCATGGACTGCCACAAAGTTCCAACCCAAGATAGTTCCCATACCTAAAAACCTATAATCGACGATTTCTCCTCCCTTTTCCACAGTCCAGTGCACGTGTTTGTTCCTCCGGTGCTACAATCGCGGCAAAAATTCAACGCAGCTAAATAAAAGCTGGAATCCCGGACGGGTGAGTTTGCATTTCGAAAAAGGCTGCGGTAATCGGAGCCTGTGACGAAGGGCGAGGTAACTGCGGTATTTAATTCGCGAGCACGTGTTGTTGGTACGTCGGAAGGTATGCATCGGTGCATGCTGCATTTCACGTGACTCACGGTGTATAATTTGCGTGAACGTGCTGCGGATGTGTACACGTGCAAAAACCTTCGGGCATAGGCCAGCACGGTGTCACGATTGAACATGCATGGAAGTAGAATCGTGTCGGAGGCACTGGAATAAAAGACAAAACTTTTCTTTCTCGAACCAAGTCAAACGGTCGTGCCCCCTGAGTCGAATTACCGTTGAGCAACATTGTGAAATAATTATTGCACGGGTCCATTTTCCTCGATTTCATGCGGCGTATCGCCTTTCGTGCACGATACATTTTCTGCGACGAATTAATGAGACGAGGATCGTGCAATTAACGTCTGCACTTCCTTGATAATTGCAAATTACGTATGAGATTTTTCACCCTTTAAAGTATCTTGGTTATTTATAATTTTAGGATTTCAAGTGTGAGACGTGGTCTATAGTTTCTAATGATTACCTCCAGTAATTCGTTTCTATGAATTTCAATTTTAAGGGACGAGGTAAGAAATGAAGTATAATATTGGGTGCAATTGTCTTTGCAATACTATCTAGTAGTATTCTCCCGTTATAAGTATGATAACTTAGTTACTTATCGTTAGGCGCAGACTTCGCTAATTTTAGTACAGGCAACGATTTAAAAAAGAATTTTAAATTTCTAAGTTGGTTGCGCAACCACTGATAAAAAGTACTAATTATGGAAACTTGCGAAGTCTCGACCGTGACACGGTAAACGTACAGTTGAAATATCGTAGCAATAAATCGGTCGTTTCACATACGATAAATATGGAACGAGTACAAGACATTTCTTATGTCCAATATCGACCATGAATTTGCCAGACTAACTATAACCGTCTGTCCAATGAAAAAGGCAAACTTGCAAGAAAGACTTCTCGCGATTAATTTTTATCACGAAACATCTACGTTTGTTATGAAACAAATTCATTAAACTTCCTATTTACCGAAATAAAAGGAAATTAATCGTTAATATCGAATAAAATATTAATTTTGAAATAAATATCGAGTATAAGCAACGGATGCAGAAAATCTAATACGATCGATCATAATGGAATAATTAAATCGTCGTTCACGACCCAACTGACCCGACTGATATTAACTTAACCTATCCGGATTATTTTCTAATTACGTAATAGTCTTAACGCGTAGCTACTCTTGTTACAGAAAAACTATACTACGTGCGCGTATGTAACGTATCCAAACACAGTACACGTATCCATACAATGTACATTCACGAACGTGCGTACAGAATATCACGTGTTCACTAGGTCAGTAGGTGCGGCCTGGTCTTCACCGACGATTATGCGATCTTCCATCTTGAACTACGTACCGTGATTTCCGTTTTAGGAAATCACACTGCCGTGACACCGCTACCTTCTCATACCTTCTGTAACCTGGATCGTTACGAAACGTGGGCACTGCTCGTTTCATCGCGTTCTTCTCTAGTCGATCTAGGTAGAGGCTCGGTAGAAATAGCGATCTCGTAAAGTTTGTTGCATCGAAATTTATTCAATTGCTCGATTTGTTTCTCTCACGTCATTATGTCATATGTCTTACGCGTTCGCTCGAGTTACATCTCGAAGAGTCAAATTGCCAGCAGCACTCGTAATTAACGAGATTACCTATCCGGATCGTGGGTGTGCGATTGTACCGGTCATTCACGACGATTGCGAGGTCAAGTAGACTAATTGATGCATATCATGGCCGCCACTGCAACCCTCCTTAACTTCGGTCGACATGCTATTCGTGCGCTAGACCAAGCAGATCTTCGTGACTCATTCGTCTCGCCCTCCATTCATAATTTTTCGAATTCTTGAACTACATACGCCGCGAGGGAATTTCGACGATTCTGCAATATCTTATGAGATTTTCATAGTTATTCCGACGAGAAGGAAGATTTTACGATTCGTGGTTACGAGGAAAATTGTGGTTTTCAAAAATCGCGGTACCAAAATGACGTTTTTCGAAAGATTAGGTCTCAACGGTGTCATCGACGTGGGATCCGCGTTGTTCGAGTATACGATAGACTATCACTGCGCATAAAGAGACGAAATGAAGCGTGAAGGCTAGGGCTAGCACCAACTCGGGAATACTGAAACAGATCGATGGAATTTTAGTCGAATTTTGTAGATTTCGAAGTCACAAAATCGCAGCACGCTATGTGATTTTCAGCATCTCCCGGCTGAGTTCGAAACGGTATATCTCGGTTAAGAAAAATCATGCGATTATGAATTAAATTCGATTTTACAGAGGAAGGTTAGTATTATAGGTCACAGTTCATAAAAATACTGGGAAAAAATTACTGTCTTTGGAATATTTTCTCAAATATAGGGATATCTTTTATTCATCTGACTCCTGGACCTAACCTAATCGATAAATTTTACTATTCGATTTGGACTTGGTACGCAAGCATATGCAAGCATATGTATCCTAAACGTGCATTAATTTCCCATTGTAAAATTTTCAGAAAAAGAACATAAACTCCGATTAATCCCGTAATAATTCTATATTATTACGAAGAGTATATGCTACACGTACGTAACGTTTGTTATACGTACATATATAGCATTAATCTCGGGAAACACTGAATATTGCATAGCGTGCTGTCATTTGTTGCCATTGCTCATACTCGTAGTCTCGGTCAGGATAGTAAGAAAGATTAACCATCCAATCGATCCATTTGTACAACTGGTAAATGCCACAAACTAGACTTCCAATCGCGCCAATCGTCGCGAAACACGTTTCCTGGGTAATCGTTGATATTTATAGACTTTCACTTGCATCCTCGGTTCAGTGAACGTGTAATCGACTTTTCACTTACTCACGAGATAGACATAGTCCATTTTCATTACCAACAGCATAATATCCGACGAGTGTACGAGGATGTAACCTGTTATGAAGGTGGGTACCAGGACGCCGAAGACGGGAGCTTCTAAATAGGGTTCCAATGGACGCATGTACACCGCGGTGCCTACTATGCAAGCTGACTGTAAAAATAAAATATTCAGCAAAGAAAAATGGACCCTTCGACTGAATTATGTTTGCAGTTATGTTTCAACCGAAAAATATCACATTGATAGCTCCTTTCTTACGCAAATTAATTTCTATGTGTCAGAACGTGTATCGAGATCTAGAGCAGGTTTTCATATACATATGTCCAGATCTACATATGGATTAATTGATCCAATTTATCGTATTATTACTGTCTCAAACGCTCTTTACAATCGTATAGATTTTTTTATGGGTCTTTACAAACTTTCAGAAGACAATTACGGATGATTATCGATTAAAGCAATTCCTCCTGAACAAAGCATTTATAAGCACGTTTCTTCGGTGTTATATTATGTATAATTTGTTTGCTTTTCTTTTATATGTGAAATTTTATGTAAATAGACTGCGGTTCATTTATGAATAAAATAATATATTTTAAATTTTTCGAAATTTATGGTCAGAGTCTTACAATTGCCAAGGTTCTCCACAATAGCAATTTCTTGTCAAGAGTCCACATGTTGAGTCTCATAAGTTGAGGAGGTATCGGTATGTTGCCCATCTTTTCCAGAAACGAGCTTTTCTTTCAATCGCGATATTTATAATACTCCACGATCGGCGAAAATTAGGCGAATTTCACGACGATCTTTTGTCTCGAAATATTTGCCTCGATTAAATACGCCGGAAGTTCGAGCGTTCGAGGAATCGATCATTCTCTGTATCGATTGAACCACGCGATTGGAATCGAAGTATAGCAATCAACGAGGTTCACTCCACGATTTCGTGTTCTATTTCGAGATCGATGTCGAATGATTACACGAAAGAAATATAGAGGTTCGTGTGTTGGTATGAGGTATTTATTATTTAGCTAATCGTTCTACATTTCGGTCTGTCGAGGCGTCCCATTGGATTGCTTCATTTTCGAGTACTCCGTGTAGGCTATGTGAGCAGCTTCGCAGAACAGGATGATAAAATTGGCTAGAAATTGGGAAATTTTTCAGAACTGGTTAGGTGGAGAGATAAGAGAAAGAGGTGATCATATGCACCCATTAAGAGCAAGCCAATTTTGAACTCGCTTCGTGACGCGTTAGGCTCTTCCGGGTTTACGTATCGCGATCTCGTGAGGCCTGCTATTCCACCTATCAAATGGAAAATCACCCCGAGTGAAAAATATGTGAATTCCTGCAAAGAGAATCAGAAGAAAGATCATTTGGAACATCGTATATATTCGCTAGAATAATATTTTTTAATCAATTTTGGACTGTAGATCGGAAAATAAATGTACAGCTGTTAAATTTAACCCTTTGCACTCGAGAGGCACCCTTCAGTCTCCATTTGATAAAATTTCAGAGGTCGATGTTCATTCATATGTAAAATTTAAGATAATGTAACGGTATGTGAGGTATCGAAATGGAATAATTCTACGTGTTAATTAATATACGATTTATTATTTATTGCTCAAAAAATATCGTTATCTTTGTAGCAGAAAATCTTTGAACTGTGGCTCTTATTTAGCCAAAAGTCGTCGAGTGCAAAGGGTTAATTTTAATTTTTATCGTTCGGATGTTTCATGCAAGAAAGTGAAACTAACTGGCAATCTGCGAGGTTTTTCAAACACGTGAGTCATCCCGATGCAACAGTAGATGATACAGTACATGGACGTGTCGATGCAATAAATGACCCACAGCCATCTTGGTATCGCGTATTCCTTGTGCTTCAACAACTCGTTCGTGCAAACACTGGCTAGGATCTGAATTCAGAAACCACACGATTTGGGAAATTTTCTCCGTTTACCTGTATATAAAGTTATTTTACCAGTTCGAGTACTTTCAGGAGGAAACTGAAGTCTTTTAAAAGTCTGCGTGCATGATAAAACAAATTCATTGGGTCAACCTCTGATCACTCCGAAGTTCGATATATATCGATGTCGAGATTTTCGTTGAATTGTTTTCCAGTCTCTTTCATCTGGATAAATTACTGTATTCGTTTCTATAATTCATAAACTATATATTCTATAAACGAAATAAATATATTTCTCAAAGGACAAAATTGAATAAAACATTTAAAAAATTCTAAATTTATCATCGTGTCGAGAGAATATTATAAATAATGAGAATAAATTTAGAAACTTTGACAAAATAAATATATTATAATGTCACACGATCATGGTACAATGATACAAATGTAGTAATGTTATATAAAAATTAAATATCATTTGCTACACTACTTGCAGTAATACGTCTTATCGATAATTCATGACCAAGTCTCGAATTATCACACGTCGAATCATATGAAATGACAGTGTGCGAGTAAATGCCTGTCGAATGTTTCATTTCCTACGAAGATAACTTTTCGATCGCTATCTTATCGTTATTATAATGACATAATCCTCGATTTTCTAATTTTTGTATGAGGGATGTTTCGATTTTGTACGAACGATACAAATTGAACTCTCATCTGTATCAACGAAGTGTCTAATTATTTTTCATTTCGCGGTACAAAAGTTTCGATAAAAAAGGTGAGACGAGATGACAATTGTTTATATTCCGCCAATTGCGATTTCATTCTAGAAATTATCTTGACTTTTCGCAAAATGAAGGAAACTTATTATCAGGTCGATGAGATACGCTGCTCCCTCGATAACGCACAATGATCCGACAGCCAGGCCAATCTAGAAAATTGACAATTTAAGTGTATATAAAATATTTAAATTAAGTATATAAAATATTTTTATATAAAGGAAAAATATTTTTTTATATTCTATATATAAAATATTTTTATAACCCAGCAGAATTAAAGGTTATATAAAATATTTTCTTTCATTATTGTTCGTTTAATTGTAAATTAACATTCGTGTCGTTTAGTTACCTGTCTTTCCTGTATAATCGTGTCGAATTTATTTTCCGGCTGATAACCATGCCAATAATGAAGCGCTGTACCACCTACAGCAACGAACATGAAGGTTCCAACGAAGTTCATTATAATTTCCTAAAAGAATATGTTTGTCGTTAATATCAAAATAAAAATTAATGAAATAAAAATAAAAATTCGAAAATCTTACAACGAGTGTCTTCTTGTGATACGTGCTCCCAAAGCAGTAAGTGATGAGAACGACGCTTGTGTATATGAAAAATCCTACTAGAACTCCAGATGCAACTATTTCTGCGTCTGCATTTTTGTCTTCGTTCAAGTTCCATGTTCCACCGACACCCAGGAATTCTCCTTTGTATCCTGTTCGATACAGGATCAGGATTATGAGATTAATAATCTGAAAGGACAATCGACAATGTCTAAGAAATATCCACACAATTCGTTAAATAATAATGATTAAAAAGGTTTCTATTATTGGTGGATCCATAGGCTGTGAAATAAGGGATGATCATCCCCAAGAAAATAATTTTTGAAAGGACAGACTTTCATTTTATTTTATATTCTTTCTCGTTTTATTTAATTACGTGATTAGTAATTATCTTGGTCCTTTATAATTTATTATTATTATTAATTTATTGTTCTTTTATAATTTATAAATTTTTAAGTTTTAATTTAATTATTTGATTATCTCAGCTATATGGATCCACCCCTAGTCTCTGTTAAATATTTTTGTTGTATCTAAGGATCTTCGTGGTTCGTAATAACAAATCGTAATTCGTGAAGTTTAAAAATTTCGATGTTTACATAATTACAGATACAAGGAGACTGTATATAAATTTAGGTTTCGATATTTCGTATGTCGTTTTCTTATATTTTACACTTTTCTTGCTAGTTCTTCCAGAGGAATTAGTTGTAGTAAAAAGTAGTACGTCTATATCGCGATACTGTAAGTTAAAAAGGGCGTCGTATCGTAATGCAAACAAAGTGCCTTATCGTTCGTTGATAAGGACCGAAATGAATCATAGAACTATGTACAAATGTTTCTTGAATGAGTCTAGTTACAATGATTTACCAACGTTACTATAACAGCGTTACCATAATTGCTGCATTTGGCATTATTAATCAAATTTGACGTACAACCGGTACAATTGATCGTTTGTAAAATTACCGCCATTTTTCTGCGAATAACAACTACTTCCACAATGACAATACATGGTCAATTAATCATGATTTCGACACACGTGTGTGTATTATCGTTCTAAGGTAGTTGTACGATAAAATTTCCACTGACACGTTATTAATCGAAATAATTCCGTTTCGAAAGATATATTATCGATATTTTTCATGATCGATTTTCTTTGACAAATCTATATGATTTTTAATTCACGAAGAGAGCAGAAATTTCACTTGTATAGTGCACAGGAAAATTACGGTGTCACAAAATTATTATGAGAATATTATCCAGTCGAATGTCACAAGCCATAAATTTGAAATTAGAAACACACTATTACTATCTGCTCTATCGTCACGAATTATCGATTTGTTTTACTCCATTTTGACACGAATAGATAATGAAACGAACAGTAGAAGAATCATGCTCCTCACCAACTTGAGAACTTTTATCACTATACCCGCGACACTTTCTATAGACACCATGCTGAAGACTTTCGATGCGAATTCTTCACGATGCGAACAGGTGAACCGAAATAACGAAATAAAAGCGTGTTGAATGCTTTCAACCCAGTACCAAGCCCTCTTTATCTAATCAGATGATACAGCGTACGTCGAAAGAGGGATAAGACGCGTAGAAAGCACCTGTACATTTATACTATATTATCGGTAACGATAATATAGCTCGATGACATCGAAATATACCATATATTGTTTTCCCCATTTCTGATATTTAATTCTATATCGTTAATTATTACTTGGATAATTATTATGTTACACGTGGTTACTTTATACTTTATAAAATGCTTCTCTATAATAAAATTCAATATTTATACTAAAGACAATAATTTGTATTACAGCAAACGATGTATATATACATAATAAGAAATAGGATAATTATTTTACTAAGAAAAGGTGAATAATTCCAAGCTAAATTGGATTGTTGTACCTTTCATAATTTGTAAATTAATTATAACTCACAAGTGCCAAAATTAACAAACACGTTTATTTTAGGAGCTGGGTTTATCCATTACCCCGGAACAAATCAGCGAAATGGAAGCTCACGTGAACGATATCGACTTCGAGGCTGCTGCAAGGGAAGAAAAGGCCACCAGACACGACGTCATGGCTCATGTCCACGTTTTTGGAAACCAGTGTCCAAAAGCTGCACCCATAATACATTTGGGGACAACCAGTTGCTACGTCGGTGACAACACGGTAACGAGAATATTATTTTCAATGGTAGATGCTAATTATTTCAGGAAAGTATCTTATCCGTGGCAATGGTGTTAATTTTTCAAGGATTTAATAATTCTTCGTGAAGGATTCGACATACTTCTGCCGAAATTGGCGAACGTGTTGTCGCGGCTCACGAAATTCGCCATGGAACATCGGGATCTGCCGACTTTGGGATTTACTCATCTTCAACCAGCACAGCTTACGACCGTTGGCAAACGAGCTACGTTGTGGCTTCATGATCTTCTGATGGACGAGCGAGCTCTTCGTCGCGCTAGAAACGACCTGAAATTCCGAGGTGTGAAAGGCACCACTGGCACGCAAGCTTCGTTCCTTCAATTATTCAACGGTGAGCATGGTGATTCGTTTCATTAAGTTCTATTGAATATTCTATAATATTTCTGGAGATCAGACATCCTTATTTACTACTTATTTACTACCGTTCCATAATAAGTTAATAATCGAACAAGATTAACAATCATAATCGAATTGATATAGGTTTCCAACCTATTGGAACCTGTTTCCAACCTCCTAGAGATTCTTTTGGCCCATTATTTATTATCTAGATCACCTCTTGAACATCTCCAGAAATTTCATCAAATAGGGAATTGAAAGTTCCCAACAAAGGAGTTTAGAATATTAACAAGTTCTATAACATTGTGAGTACATTTGTTAATTTTTCCTCAGGTGACGGAGAGAAGGTGAAGCAGCTAGATCGATTGGTAACCAAAATGGCCGGGTTTGAGAAATATTATTCTGTAACGGGACAAACCTACAGTCGTAAAGTCGACGTGGAATGCTTAAACGTCCTAAGTTCTCTAGGTTCCACGGTTCACAAAGTAAATAGTTAGGATTATACCAGTGCATACACAGTAGGGTACATACACCACGTTGATTCGTGTGTTTCAGTTCTGTAGCGATATTCGATTATTGGCAAACATGAAAGAAATGGAGGAACCGTTCGAAAGCACTCAGATTGGATCCAGTGCAATGCCATACAAAAGGAACCCGATGCGTTCAGAGAGATGTTGTAGTATAGCGAGGCACTTAATGACTTTGGCTAACAATGCTTTGCAAACGGCTGCCATTCAATGGATGGAAAGGACGCTAGATGATTCTGCCATTAGAAGACTCACATTGTCGGAAGCGTTCCTGTCGGCTGACGTGATTTTAATGACTCTCCAAAACATCACAGAGGGCATGGTCGTCTATCCTAAAGTCATTGCCAGGCATATCGAGCAAGAACTGCCATTTATGACAGCGGAGAATATAATAATGGCGATGGTGAAAGCTGGAGGTGATAGGCAGGTAAGATCTTTGCAACAGTATTATTATTTGCGAATGAGCATACAAAAATAGGAGGCTCCTTGGCGAAATGAGATGAATAATGATAATGATGATAAGAAATTACTCGAGTAAAACTCAAAACAATAATTACAAAATCCAACTATTCTAATAATATTTATTGAACTTTATTGACGAAATTCTAGAAGAATTTTTTAATTTATTTTACATGACAGCACTTACCTTTCAATTGGATAAATACTTTCTTAACTGCAAGGAACAAAACCTTTGAAGGAAAAATCTGTTTTTCATGAAAAGGAAGGGAAATCAATATTATTCTCCTGTAACAGGTTTGTCACGAGAAAATTAGGGTGTTGTCTCAAGAAGCTGGTGCACAAGTAAAACTACACGGAAAAGATAACGATCTAGTCGAGAGGATCAAGAAGGATTCTTATTTCGCTCCGATTCTCAATCAACTGAACGATCTCCTGAATCCACATACCTTTATCGGGAGAGCACCAGAGCAAGTTGTCGAATTTGTGGAAGAGGAAGTTAACCCCGTTCTCGAAAATTACAAAGGACTCTTAGGCAGGAGCGTGGATCTCAACATTTGACCTAACAAAATGGATCTTTTATTTTCGAAGGAAGAAAGGCTTCTTAAGAATTTCGTGACATTTCTCGTAAGATGGTTCCTCCGAATTTCCAACATCTGTCACGTCTTTTCACCGAAAACAAAACAAAGTGATGCGTACAAGATTGTTATTATTGTAAACGTTACAAAGATGAGAACTGAATAAAAATAGGACAAATAGTAAAGCGCACTGTTTCGCAGCCACGCGCACGCTTTTCCCACGTTGAATGTGTTCATCTCGTTAGAACAATCGATTTTTCTTTATGCGACTCGATTAGAAACTTCTCAACAACGTAACTGCTGTGATAGCGAATGAAGATCGAGCGGAAAGAATCGAGAAAGCCGAAGAGACACCAGAATTTTTAAGACGTTATTAATTTTCGTATTTACATGTAGAATAAAAATTGAAAAAATAATAGGAAAGAATGAGAGAAAGAACGATAACAGAAAGATGTGAAAGACAGGTGAAGAAAATAGGTAGAATAGAGTGTGTAAAAAGAAAGACAGAGATGTAGAGACCGATCGTTTATTGTAAACAGATAGTCGAGACATAGTGAGTAACAGTTGCTTAATCGCCAATAAACTTGTTTGCTTTTTCTTTAATTAATGTGTACACATTTCAAAGGAATATTCATTTATCTCTTCAGATGACTTATTTTATCTGAAAGCATAATGACCATCGACGCGATTAACGGCGATTAAGCAACTGTTATACTTTACAAGAAAGGCTAAAAGTAACGTTACCCTGAAACAGGAAACAATTGGCTGTATTAATCGCAAAAGATATAGCAGAGGCATTGGCAGAATGGAAACACGTGATTACAGCCTCGATTACTTTTTAGCTTGGATTTCGCGAAAACGAAATATAGCACTTGAGAATCACAGCATGAGGAGAATTACGCATTGTTTTCTCGTATGTAGCTTTTGTAGGATAGATCCAGGTAACGATAGGTGGGAAAGACTAGACTAGAAGTGAGAGAAGGCGAAGGGAAACGCGGTTTCCTGGTCGAAAGTGACATGGTGCGTGCACATTCGCTTTTGCGACGCATTCTTTTTGCTGTCATACTTCTGCAGTGTATGTAAATTATACTGTCAGTGTGTGAAAGAGTAGGTGTCAAGATTTGCGACAGATTTATCAAGAGGTGGAGCAGAGGAAAGTGACAGTGAGGAAAGTAAGGTAGAAAATAGAAGAAAGAACGAAAATGTTTGAACAAGTGAAAGATCTAAAGAGAAAAGAGTTTTAATTCAGTAGCGAGATAAGAGATAGAAATTGAAGAAATAATAAAAATAAAGAATACAGTCAAAAGAGTTAGAGAATAGTTGAGGAGGAAAGATGAGGTAGAGACAGAGTCTTCAAGAATAAGAAAGAAATAACAACGTGTCATGCAGAATGAAATACATAATATCGATGGAGAAATCGATAAGAGAATCACAGGATGTGGCATTTTAGCGACAAGCGTGTAATGAATTTACAGAAAAATTTATATTTTTATGTTGTTCAAGCATAGAAAAGTTTAAAGAGAGAAAAACAGGGGAAATGAAACATAGATTTAGAAACTTGATAGATAGAAAGATAGAGAGTTCAAAAAGGTATTTACAAAATTAGTCAAGATGAATAAGAAACCAAAATAAATTTAAAATGAAGAAGAAAGACACCTACAAAGGAAAGAAATAAACGAGAATTGAAGAATCCTTGAAAAGGAAGTATAATTTTCAGAAAACAATTGGAGCTGAGAGCAACCAAATTGAGAGAAAGATAGATAGAGTAAAAGAGAAAGAATAAAGTTAATATTTACATAGAGATATAAATAGAAGAAGTATTCGAATCCTTAAACACAGAAATCAGAAATAAAGAACAATAAAACAGTTGAAAAATTGAAGTTTACAAAGAGAAAGAGGGATACAGGAAACAAAAGTACATGGAAGTGGACAGTGTTGAAAATAGGAAGAGAGTAAAGTATCAAAGCGAATATAAAATTAAAAAGAAATTAAATAACCTGTAATAAAAATAGAACAGCGATATACACAAACTTAATAGCCCATAGTAGAAAATGGAAACAGAAATATAATTAGAAAAATCATTTTTATATTACAAATTGAATATATATAGAAAAAAGGATAAACAAAATAGAAAGTAGTTAACAACTTTTATACTATACATTGAAATGTAAGAAGGAAACAGACAAGGAAAAATCGAAAACAATAGTGTACAGAAAAAGATGTCAGGCAGAACGAGATTAGAAGGAAGAAGAAGTGATCCTTCAAGATAAAACAATATACACATAAACTTTTAAGGACAGTGTAATCACAGTGTACAGTATAGAACAGGTAAGAATAGCAACAGTATAGACAAGCTATTTTTTACAAAAATAAATCATTAAAGAGATAAGAAGGAAAACATAGTAGCACCCAGGAATGAGAGTAAAGTGCCATAATACGTTAAATTTCAGGTACTTCAGTATTCTCAAGTTCACATTAAAGAAGAAAGGAAAATCGCGAACTGAAATACAATAATACAGAAACGCAGCAGAATAGTAGATATGAAGTCTGCATAGAAAGGCTGTTATTATAATGGTAACATAGCAAACAGAGCAAAGACTAGTCATAGTAACATAGCAACTCGTAATTATAGCGACACGAGAGAAAGTAAAACATATACGAGAAGGAGGTATGCGAGGCAAATTAGGTATAGAAGAGGGTATAGAGTAGAAAAGTAGCCTGTATGGCGAAACATAAATGAAGAAAAAAAAATAATTCATGGCAAATTCGACAAATTTCGACATCGTAATACTGGTAGGTATTTGCGGAAAGCGTACAAGTAAAAGTTAGGATAGTCCAAAAGAGAAAGAAGGAAACTGCGACTTCGAAGAGGTCGAATCTCAGAGGAAAGATAACTGTGTAGCGATTGTGAAGAAGAATGAAGAAAAATATAGGAACAGTTTGTGGAATAGAAGGAACATTTTCACAGAAGAAGAGGAGATCGTTATCGAAGAGAGAAACAAAGTATAAAAGAAAGTTTGTACCAGTGGATAGAAAAGAGGTAACACAAAGAGGCGAAGAAGAAGATAGAAAATAGAGGAGTATCAAAGATAACGTACCAATTGCTAATCGTGAAAAATTTAGGCAGTCCCGCAATTTCAGTGATCCGTGCCGATGCGCTGTCAGGTGTTTGAAACAGGAGATCAGCGAAATTGCGAGACGATAGAGTAGTCAAATAGCAGAGAAAGAGCTATCACAGAGCGTTAGGTTCGTGGAGAAGATTAAAACCGCTCTGATCAAATGTTTCCCAATTAGCAATACCATTAAGTCCGATATCAATCATTTAGAAAGGCTCGGTTGAAAGTCAACGAAACCAAGCTTCAACTTCCGGTTCATCAAAGTTGTAAGTCTCAATTTTGTACTTCTTCCTATCAGATCGATTTCAAATTCTTCCAAAGATATGGGTAATCGGCTAGAAAATATTTGAAAATATTTCCAAAGCTTGACGTGTAAGTAATTAATCGTTGATTACTGAAGCAGCATCTTTCAAAAGAACAGTTCCACGTTGTCATCGTAGTCTGGTTGATTAGGTAAATTTCGCCCAGTTTCTTCTTGGGTGGGTCAACTCTCCAGTAATGTTCCAAACTATTTTCTTAAGAAAGGTGGTCTTCGTGGTTCAATTTGTCTGTGAATTGGTCGATTGTTTCTTGGCAGTTCGGAGAACGTGACGTTCTCTGATACCTTTCCGGCATCGACGAAGACAGCGAGCTGGTCTTCAGCCTGGACGTCCAGCAAGATCAAAATAATACCACCACCTGGTGAAAAGGATTGACCAGTGGTCTCCAGCTATCGATATTGTTTAGTTTCCTTTTCAGAGTGAGTCGAAGATCGGGGTTTCCATGACATCGGGATTTCCGAAGCAGGTTTGGACAATGCGTGGTGAAGATGCTTGTCTAGGCGTCGTAGTCCACGCTTTTATCCACCATTTTCTCGGCGAATATGACTCTGGTAAGCTAGAGGATTTAACGATATTTCGAAAATTAGAATCTTTAAATTTTGGGAATTTAGAATTTTTGCATTTTTTTTTTTAATTTTTATGTACGATGAAAAATATTGGCTTTTATTCGATTTTATTCAATTAAATTGCAAGCTTTGAAATTTCGTTTTAAAAAGCTTATAGTCCTCGGAAATTCATGGGGTAACCATGTTCGCTGATTTTCTCGATATTTATTTCTAAAGATGTTTGAAATATGTTGGGTTGAAATTAATTCAGGAAGACAAACTCACATCGTCGGCTGCGTGAGTTGCCGAAAAAGCAACAACACCATTGCAGTCAGCTGGTGTAGCCAATTTCAATGAGCCGATAGTCGTATGATACCGGAAGTTGGTGGATCCGGTGTTACTGTCTCCGTCAAAGTGGATGCTGTCAGCGACAACACCGACCACACCACCCTGAAACAAGCGTTTATTGATCGTAACAAATACACCGATATCACAGAGTATTACATTTTATTTCCACCAGGTAATGACAATTTTTAATTCTCATGATAATTATTCATGAGCCACAGGTTCTATTTATTGCAAATATAATTCCATATAACGAATCGAGTCTAACTTCCCGAAAAATTTTCACGAATTTTGCAAAATATACTTGCATCTATTTAGACTAACGTAAATATGTTATTCAACGAAATATTTTATTAAAAATTCTACTCGTGTCTTCCATGTTCGAAGAATGAAGAATGTCGATTCGTACTCTAATTTTTGGAAAATGAAAAATATATTAAAATTCGGTGATATAGGATACAAAATTTAACATTATCAGTCATATAGGGTGTATATAGGGTGTATATAGGTACATAAAATAATAGCGTCATTTTCTCCTCAATCATTGTGACGTTACATCACAAACAGAAAAAGAAGAACTGAACTAAAAAGAATTATTTTTCCAAAAAAAACCTATCGAAATTCGAATTAATTAATTAAATTAATTAAATTAATAAAATCGAATTAATTGCCATATGCCATCGTGCGTGTTACCGAATTCCTTCTCGATCATTCGATTACGTCAATGATAACGAGGAAAGGGAGTTGCAAAAGAGGAAGATCGAAAGGGAAATGGTAGAGTGACCATCGTGATAGCAACTCAGGCTAATACCACTACGACGGAAAATTAAACCCGTTCTTACGTAAGAGTTCAAGTGGGCGTTCGTAATTTTTATAATTTCATCTTGTTCATTTTTTTTCTTTTTTTTTTTTTTTTTTTCCGTT